CATTCCGTGACTCTGCATGATTCTGTGAATAACCCTGTATTTCGCTCTTTCTTTACAGGCCAAGATATTAAATCTGATGGCTTTAGTATCGAGACGTGCAAAATAATGGTTGACCTGTTAGATGTATCCTTTAAGGCTTACCTAGATGATACTCTTCTGCCTGTGCCTTTGCAGTGGTGGGTCCATACTGATCTACTAGGGACTCCTGCGCTAGAGAAGCTGGTTTTACCCGTTTCCCCTGAATAAAAATGGTAGCCCTTGCTGTTACTGCTGACCATGGCTCTTGCATTCTCCCAGGCAGCGGGGAAAATCCATTATCAGGCAGGACAATCTGATTTGAAGTCCTCCCAGCTCTTGCGTGTTCTGGTTTAACTGGGGAAAAAGTGATGTTTGTGTGGGGAAAAGGCACCAGGCTTTCAGCATGGGGCAGATCACCTTGTTTGTAGAGTTTGAATGTGCACATCTGGGTGCACATCACTGCTCACTTTTATGGCTGGAGCTGGTAAGGGCATCATAAAGCCATGAGGACTTAGCAAATAGGAAATGAAGGAAACAAATACAGGAAGCAGAAAGATGCTGGATTTTAAGGAGCTTTTACTCCTAAGAAAAAGGGCAGAAGTGTAGGACAAATTCTAAGAATAGCTGTGCTCGGCTTCTCTGTGCAGTGGGAGTTTAATTGCACAGCTCGAAAAAGGGAAAACTACTAAAAACAATGATGCTCTGCTATAATTTGGTGTAAAGAACAGCAGTCTGTAGGGACTCCTTAGCAGGTTTTGGGAGCGATGCCATGACCAGATTCTTTTATTAGCTGTTTGTGCAAGAATTTAAGTCCTCCAAATAGCAGGCTTGGTTGTTTCCTGTTTATAATCCAGACTTAGGATTCATGCTCCTGTAACTGCAGGTGTTGAACCAGCTACACAGAAGAAAATGGCAACATCCCAGCTGTTTTATACATGTAATGAAAAGATAAGAGAGCTTCCAAACGAGGAGCAGAGAGAGCTTGTGAACTGCTCACAGTTTAGTGAATTTTAGAAAGACATCTTAGACAACAGTTCTGTGTTCAACGGGATGAGTCCTTCAGAAAGGACTTGCATTCTTAATTGCGATATTTTTAAGTCACAGCTGCCCATGTAAGATAACCCAGCACAGGGAGGAGAAAACCCTTTTCCTTCTCTCCAGAAAGATTACCTTAACACGAAGAAGAATGATGGGAGTGGTAAACTGGGACTGAAGGAGTTCCACACCCTCTGGACAAAGATTCAGAAATACCAGGTAAGGTGACCTTTCTGCGGGAGAATGTGCAATCGAATGTAGAGGTGGCTGGAGGCTGTTCTGCCTCGCACGACATGTGCAGTGACACTTCCCAAAGCAGGGACTCTCACTTCAGCTCATAATGCATCAGTCCTCCAGGTTTTGTCCCTTGGGAGTCCAGGGCTATGACTGCTTGTCCTTCAGGTGCTCGGGTGAAGGAGAGGCTGCCTCTTCCTGCCTTACCCTCAGAAAGGTTTCTGGATTAACTCACTCATGTTTAGCTTTCCCACTTAACAAGTTTGGTTTCAGTCTTGCCGTTTTGGTAGTGATAGTGCCATTTTGCTTGGGTGTTCAAGGAATCTTCCAGAGTCTTCGTTTGCTCTGGCTGCTGTATTAGAACAACTTACTTTCCAGAGCAGCTTTGAGATGAACTCTGAGATAAGTACTCAGTCCTCCAGACCAACGTTGCAAGCATTCCTAAGTGGCGTGCAGGCTGCATTTCAAAATGTTTGATTTCTCACAAAAGCCAAAACATGCTCTGAATTATTGACAAGTTTTGACTTTAGATTTTGTGTCCTGCAGAAAATTTACAGGGAAATTGATGTCGATCGATCCGGTACCATGAATTCCTATGAGATGAGGAGGGCACTGGAAACAGCAGGTATTTATATTGATCTGTTAGGATTATATCAGTTTCAAGCTGGGTTGGTTGATGCTCACTAGGTCTCCTGTACATCACTTGTACACTGAAAAACCCAGTGTTCTCAGATCTGAAAGGCCTGTGTTTAATCTAGACGCTCAGCCTGGGCTTTTGTCTTTGAGTAGACGTGTCTTGCCACGCAGGCACACTAAAAACATCCTAAAGGAGTAACAGGTCTGCTGTTATTTTCTTTGGTGACCAGCTTTTAGAGAAGCACAAATAACTGCAACAATCTGGTCTTGTAACAGCATACTGTTGTCTTTCAGCGAGTCTCTCTGGGTATACCTAAGTTTGGCATAAACTGGTAAAAAGGGGATACTGTGACATAGAGAATGGAAGTGGCTTGACCAAGGGGTGATGCTCACAAGAGTGTTAAAAGAAGGGTCAGTTTGCTGTTGCAACCACTGAAAAGCAAATCTGAGTTTCAACAGTAAGGGAGGTATCACAAAGCCATATGGCCCCATATTAACTTACTGATCTTCTGCACTTGGGCTCTCTGGAACTTCCCCCTCCAGTCACCATGTAAGATGAGGCAGCAGTTCTTTTTGTCCCAAAGTTCAGATGCTCCTTGGAAACAGAGACCCGTTTACCCACAGAAAGCTACCACTTCATCTCAGGTCTCAGTGGGCTGTGTCTGGCAGCGGCATCATCACCCAGGGAAGGACCATGAGCTGGAGCAATTGGTCGTGTGCCCTGGGAAACCGGAGTAAAGGTGTGGGAGCATACGCAGCAGGAAGAACAAGCGTGGCCATGTCACAGCTCCAAATCACTCCAAGTACAGAAGATGTTGTTGGGAGTTTTCAAAATGGCATAAATACTCTTAAAATTTGAGAATTTTACCGAAGAAAGTTGTTTGGAGCTTTTTGCATTTTTTTAATCTTTTTTAAATCTTTGACATTGTGCTTTTAGGGTTCAAACTCAACTGCCAGTTACATCAAATCATTGTGGCTCGTTTTGCTGATGAAGACCTCATCATTGACTTTGACAACTTTGTCCGGTGTTTGATTCGTCTGGAAACCTTGTTCAGTGAGTACCTGGCTTAGCAACCAGATGAACGCTGTTGCTTTGTGTTTTCAAGTCCAGGCTAATTTATTCAGAAGCCTTTGTACTGGAACCAAAGCAACTTCAAAGCTGAGCTATAAATCTGGAAACCCAGTCTGTGCATTCCTCTTTTAGGCCAGGCTGATGAGCTGGAGCCAGACAGTCTTCCATGCAAACAACTAAATATTGAATTTTTTATTTTTATTTTTTTTTAAGCAATCTAAACACTTAGAGGTATAGTATTAATCTTATGGACTGAACCACTAAAAATGCTCAGTCTCATTCTTGCACATGAACACGCAGTGACTTTTAGAGTGGTCCTTTCTGGTTTGAGGTGTAGACCATTGTCATAAATTTTAGAATCCAGAACTAAATTCTTTTTTGCTCCTGAAGCACCAGGAAGGGGAAAGCTTTCCAATTAGTTCCTATATTCACCCTTGTCTGTCATTTCTTTGTTACCACAGAAATGTTTAGAAAACTGGATACTGAGAAAACTGGAACAATAGAATTGAACCTCATTAATGTAAGTTCATTTAGGTTTAAACATCTCTTGTCTTCTTTTTTGGGGGGGGGGAGGGAGGGGTTAACCGTAGACACTGTCCTGCTCCTTTGTGACTGATTTTGGCTGATGTATTCACATACATGTGTATTTGTAAGCAGTCTTAAGAAAGGTTACCCTTTTTTAACATGTACCTACATCATGTTGTATTCTCTGACAAACAGGCCAGGCTCCTTGCAGGTGATGCCACTTGTCCCTGGCTGGCAGTAATTCCGGCTGATATGTACGCAGGCTTCTTCCCTGCCTTTTCTGTCCACAGCAAGGTACAATGCAGGTGCAGTAGTGACTCCTGGTACTGACCACATCTGCTGCTTTCTGCTCCATGTATGCCCTGTAGAAAGGACTAAGTTAGGAGAAAACCACCCTCCTACACACGTTCAGCCTGCTTATTACCTGAACGTAACTTATTGCTGGACCTACATGAGGACTGTGCGAATCATCCCAGGACTCTTCTGACTTATATGAGATATAAATTTAAATCATTCAGGAAAGATCCTAAAATTACTTCTGTAACAATAGAATTTCTTCCTCATGCTAGAAATGGGAACATATATACTTGCTGCTGGTATTTTTACTAAACTTACCCTTGGGCCATCTTCCTCTCTCTCGTTATAGTGGCTGTGCTTTACTGTCATTTGAGTCACTGACATCAGCTTGAGAGACCTCAAAAAGAACAAGATCAGGTGAAGATAAGCAAGCAAACATACAAGTAATATCTGAACGTGAATGTGCCTTAACTTATGCATGGCAAATTTTGCACACAGTTACACGAAAGCAAGCATTCTGCTTCAACAACAGGAAGAGTCTGCAACCTCATTATTTTTCATGGGCCTGGCAGGCGTTATCTGCCACTATATATCCTCTGTACAAAAGCTTTGATTTAGTATAAATCCTCAGTTCAACTTTTGAAAATACTGCTTTGCTAATATCTTTGTATTTAAGGTGTTTTACATGACTTCTGGAAGAAAGCTCATTATAGCCTGACAGTCTGGTTTTATAAGCACTTTTTGAATAACAGCTCCATTCCATCTGGCATTATAGCTGAAACTAGAAAAGGGATGGTATTGCATGTCTCTGAATACAGGTATTTAGGGAGTATCTGCTTTCTGTCAAGAGCCAGCAGTATTCTGGTTAAGTATTCATTGAAGAATTTGACTGACAAGTACACGTTGGACCAACCTGAAGGACAAATCTTTCATTCTTGACCATTGATGTGCCTGTATAGCAGGAGGCTGTTGGCAACCAGACTCTCCCTGGGCTTTCTCTTGGAAATCTTGATTTCCTGTACCTTATTTATCTTCCTTTGAAATACAAGAAAGCATTTAAATAAAAACAGTGGAAATAAAGTTTGCAAGTCTTACTTCTTCTGCAAACAAGCATGTTTTTTCTTAGAGACAGTTCATCATAAAGCATATGCAGAGCTTTCCTCACTAGAAACAGAGTACATTGTGCTTTAAAAGGGAAGGAGAGCACTCTGGAGCTGACTAGGCACTGACAAACACTCTGGCTGTATGTCAGGTAGACGTATCAGACTATCTCGCTTTTCATTATCTGATACTTTGAAAGACTCATGCTTGAAAAACTAAAGGTTTTCAAGAAAGGTACCCAATCTCTTAAAATCATGATGCAAACATGAGCAGGTTGCTGCTTCCAAGCCTTCTTACTCCAGCTGACTTAATTCCTCGGGTGGACAAACTTGTCTCCTCCTTCCTACAAACAATTTCTTATATTTATGGGCATCTTTTAAGAGTGCAGGAAAGCCTGAGCCTCAAGGGTGAGGCATTTCATAAATAGCCTTAAGGAAACATTTGATCCTCTCTATTACTATTCGTTATCAAACGATCATTCCCAAATAGATAAAAAGGATAGTTCCACAGGAAAGGCTTTATTTGGAAAATACTTGTACCAGGTTTTCTTTCTAAGTATGTCCCTTACTATTTAAGGTTAACAAAAGCTAACAGATTCAACTCAATTTTAAATGCAGAAAGACCATCTTGAACAAATGGGGGAGGAAAGTTTCAATTTAATACAGAAAAGTAGGTGAATGCTGATGCAATGGAGAACAGCGGTGTATCTTTCTGATAACATCTTCAGATGATCTAATAAAAACTTGACACTAAAATACCCAGACTTAAGGAGAGACAAAAGTTTAATGGTAATACAGTCAAGTAAAAACAAGTGAGTTGTCAAGGACTACAGAAAGTTTCTACACTTAGTTTTCAAAGTACAAAATACAATAAATACATGAGGCTCTTTGTAAAAAGAGGAATCTAAAACTACATTTTCTGTTACAGCACATAATATTTTGAATACATGAAATTCCTAAGATGCTACAGCATTTTTAAAAGTTATTGCTTAATGGACCAGTCATGTGGTTGTCACTGTTCAGACGTACTTCAGTTACCTTCTTTAATAAACGTTCTGCTTCCAGCAATAAGCATTTGGGTGCTATGCACGTACTTTAAATTTCTCTCATCTGGAAAAAGGCAAAGACAAAGCCAAGTTGTCTATTTCGTGACAATTCCTTCAATGGTAAATTGAAAAGGTCCTTGTATTTGATGCAGAAAAACATGTTTGAAGAAATCAGAGTGGGTACTTGGGACACAGTGGCTTTCTCAAACAAAAGACAGCAGAATTTCACTTGCTTGTAAGCATTATTTCCTCCTGTAGAATGCCCTCATCCATTTGCTAATGCATCGATCCTTCATTTGTTTTCAAAGCACATTCTTCATAGCTTTCAAATTACATTGTCATTGAAATAAGTCTCATGATATTGGAAACAACACAAAATGGACTTTTTTTTTGTAAGTCATCCATTATTAGGACTTCAGGAATCTGGCTTCTGTACTATTTCATGCCAAGCTTCTTTGTCTAGGTTTAATCCTTGGATACAGCTGAGGGTAAAACAGAAATGAAATTTAAAATTTTAGTGCTTTAAAAGGTTATATTTTTAAGGGAAGAAAAAAAAAAGGAAAAAAAGGAAAATGAAAAACCTACCCCCCCTTTGCTGTTACGATTATAATGTAATCCCTAGTAGCAAAAGCATGGTTATAAAAAAAAAACACTCAGAGCACTAACAAATACAAATATAGCATTCTTCGGCAAGCTTAAAAATATACTAACCATGTCAGTACAAAAGGAAGGTATTGAAGAGCACATAATTCAGTACCTTCGGCTCTACCGAGATGGGCTTGCTAGGAACAACATGTGGCTTTGTAAGTCGAGAGACTTTTGTGTTCAGTGAACTATAGGATTTTTCCCTGTTTTAAAAATGGAAGTAAAGAGGTAGTAAAGTCTGTTTCGTTTTTTTCTCCATCTCTGACTCTCAGCCTTTACACACCTGTAGCTTTGGACAAGATGAGAACATCTGGCTGCCTAAGAACGGTGGTAACTGTAGGAGCTGTGCTTTAGGCAGTGGATAGTGGGTTCCCAGTAAAATTCATTTAACTGCCTGGCAGTAAATCAGGAGCTGCCAAGCTGTGGCCCTGGAGCTATGTGCTGTTCTCACGTTCTGGCTGCGCATGCAGTGGTACAGAGGCTGCTTCGGCCTCAGCTGCAGGGTGACGACTGATGGGACACAGCTCAGCACAGCCGGGGTGCTTGGCAAACTCTTGGCTCCCACTTGCAAATGGATTCTGGAACAGTTACCATTCTGCAAAGCAGGGCTATTGGCATATAAAAATAGAAGGGTCCACATCACACAGGAAAAAGACAAATCCTCCTTGCTCTAAAGAGCAATGCACGTCTACATTATATCTTAGATTTTTCAGCTGAAGCTCTCTTTAGAGATGCCCTCTTCTCTCTTCAACCAGACTCTGGCTTTCTTTTTCATAGTCAGCTATTGACTAAGAGAAGACCAACAACTGTCTCAGCCTGCTACAATTTCACCACTAGCAGAGGTGAAGTCAGTCAGTTATAGGAGCATAACACCTGACAGTGTTCAAAAGATTTTGTTTGGTATTAAGAAGTCAATATTGTGACAGTATTATCTTATTTGTATTCAGGTTTAGAGCTCTCACACAGCTTAAGGAGGCAGTGAGTCACTAAGAAGGGTAGAGTACTGATGCAGATAATTTCATCCTTGTTTTTATCCAGAGCATCTAACTGCAAAATGATAAAGCAGCTGCAATAAAAATACAACTTAATGTAAGAATCTATTAAACCACCAAACATTTTCCTCTGTGCTGAACATCTTAGCCTAGATTTCAACTGCTATATTAAGAGTCCAGTAATTGCTTTTGAGAATAACCACAGAGTGCTTTAGTAGCAGTACTAGATCGACTGAACAGACACAAAAGTGTAACAGTTAATACTGGGCTTGGGCAGTTTTCCCCAAAGGTTCTGTTTCGATTCCGTTGTGCTTCAAAGGGTAAGTTGTGATCTCCAGTCTAAGCTGTGGTGCTTTTTGACTTTTTATTACAGAAGCACAGATGTTTTGTATGTTCTTACACACCTGTGCTCAGGCTGAGCTTATGAAAAAAAAGTAGCACAGGCATTATTCATCCCAGGGCACGAACTAAAAATAGGAAAAAACCCCACCCCAAATAGACAGCGGCTGCCATTTCTGACCTTATTGTGCAGGGCTGATGGCTGCCCTCAACTTAGAAATGTTTACATTTGGAGAGGAAAACAACTGACCAGAAGTACTATGTTAGGAAGAATCTGACAGGTAGGCCTGACCTGGAAGTGATACAGAAAACTGATTTTGCATTAGAAACTGTCACTCTGCAAAAATCTAACCAGTTTAAGAGTAAGGATTATCTGCATGAGGAAGGAGGTTCAGCCTCTTTCAAGCATCATACAATCAGCTAAAATTCACAGCAGTTAATCTTTAGTATTGGCAGAACCTCTTATCTCCAGCAGCAGGGCAACTGGAAATGTAGAAAAAAAAGCTTAATGGAGTTTTTATACATGTGTCCATCTGCTACAGTTTTCTACCAACTCAGCCATGAGGTGGAACATGGGAACATAATTGAAAGTATTGATTATTTGTACACAGTTGTTCTTAATAAAAGAGACAGTAGAGATGGTGATGAGGAAAGGAGAGGGCATTCATTTAAGGCCTTTGCCAAATAAAGGCAGATACTTGCTCTCTCCTATGTTCCTTAAGTAATATTTAACCATGTCAGTGTGATCTCTTTTCCAACCCTAAAAATAAAACATAACCACAGAATTTTGCAGTGTTTGTCTTAAAACTCTCTGTGAAGCCATCATAAGTTGCACTGTGTACACCCAGACAGGGAAGGACTCATGAACTCATTCTTCATACAAATTTCAGTTCTTAAGGCCCTTTGTGCCAGCATCTCACTATCTCAGAGGGGAAATCCAGTTCTGCCACACGTTCAACAAAACCTTATGCACGTATGTTCAGATAAAAGGTTTTTTCTCCTCTAAGATGGTGAAACAAGGTTAGTATTAGAACTTGCTGTGTATAAGTAAGGTGGTGATACATGTTATTCTTTTACGCACTCATAATCCCTGTTAAATATCTAAACAGAGGTGGTAACCCACTCTGCCAAGTTACTCAACTCTCCAAATGAATAAATGGAGAAGGTCAACTCCTTCCTCTTGACTTTTGAAATTCCACATATCCTAGATGCATGAAAATAACGCAGTGTGTAGTCCACATAGTGGGCAGAGGGAGTTTTGACTCTGGGAATACCAAGGACTCACCCCTAGCAGGTTGCGGGGAACGTAGCCTTCCTTGTCATTCAGCCGTGCCCACCACCACTCAATTTCATCTTCATCTTCCCGGCGCAGGATTGTCATGCAGTCTCCCTCTTTCATCGAGAGCTCATCGTCATTCTGAGCCTCGTAATCCCAGAGTCCGTAAATCACTCCTTTGTTCATTATCCCCATTTTCTCCTGGACTCCTGCAACATTAAAGACACAGGGCAGCTTAGTAAAAAAGGTTTAAACAAAAAAAACCCCAAAACATCCCACCACCTTGTTGTCACCAGCCTACTGAAAGTCAGTCCTGGAGCAGGTGTCACTGCAAATTTAGCCCTTGCACATGGCAGAGACATTCCTTCCTTACACATGTGCAAAAAATACAAGGTAAATATGGAGAGGACTGCTGACTGATTAAAGGTTAGATTTTTGTCCTGTTATTCTCACTTCCTACACTTAAGTGATGAGCACAAAATATTTGTTTGCACTTTGAGTAGTCACTTTCTGTCAAGGGGAGAGAGCAACACTTGCTTATGTTGACCACCACTGACGTTTTGACACCTAACTGTGTCACTTTCAGAACTTTAAAATGAATTGCATTTCAGACCTACACGTGAAAGACTGGCCTGCTACACACCAGCTGCTTTCAGTTAACTCAAACACTTTTATCTCAGCAGTTCTTAATTTCTGCCACCATTTTAATTTATTTTTAAACACCGACTTCAGAAACACCATTCTGTTAGATTGTTTCTGGACCAAAGTGGAGTATGTGCACACTCCTTGCAAATGTTATTTAGAACTTGCTCATTTTACAGCTGTAGCCAAAGCTGAAATACTACTCCTCAGTTTCTGAGCAGCAAACTGGAAAAGGTATCTTAATCTACTCGTATGCAAAACCTTCTCTTTGGTAATTATTAGATTTTAAAATACTGTACCCTACTGGTTTTTTGTTTGGTGTTGGTATTGCCAGGATCAAAGAGTATATTCCACACTATCACAAAACTTGTCATTTCCCTCTCCATCTCTTACCTATTACAACCTATTGTATAGGATTCCTACCTATGCCTGCTGCAGGAAGCAACTACTCAAATCAATTTCTTTATTTCTGCATGCTAGCTCATCATGTAAAATTAAATTACTTCCACTGCATGCTTAGTTCTGCTCCAAGAAACTCTTCCCTTGCTTTGCCTTTGGCATAATTAAAGGTTTGGCCAAAACCACCCACGTGGAAGGTGAGGCTGAGCAGACAAAAAAGATTCACACAAAGGATTTGGTCTTCTAAAAAAGCATTAACAGGTACACTGGGATAGCAGCACAAACATGCTCACTGAGAGTGCACAGGCACTCTTAAAAAGTGAAAAATTACATAATTAAGCAGCATTGAACTTTTCATTTACATCAATGAGAAAGGACTAGTGGTTTTATTTAAACCTGCCTGTACTTGTTAAAGATATTCAGTATTGTGCATCACTGACAACAGAAAGGGATTAGATGAATCAAAGAATTACACCAAGGTCTCTCACCTTACAAATAAGTTTACAGAGCCATTTTTTAATCTGTTCTGGAGCCATTTAATCTGTTCTGGAAACACACAGATACATATCTGCAAACTTCTTTTACAGGAAGAAGCAGGTTTAGCCAGTGAAATTAATTTCTTTCTTTATAGGCAATCAGAAACAGTCTTAGCAATACGATTAATTCCTAATAGAAAAATGCAGAAATTTGATAGCTGAAGAGCCAAGAAATACTTTAGTTTCAGCGGTTTCAATTTGGAAAAACTGGCAACAAGCCAAAAGTCTTACAGTCATTTCAAGTCCCATTCAAAAGTTTATCACAACACACACAAAAAAAAAGACCAAACCAAACAAAAAATAGAGTATAAAGTGAGATCACCAGATGGCAGGTCCAAAAAAAACCCCACAGACAAATACAATGTGTTTCTTCGTGCTGTATATAATGAAGCCATGGATTTCCTTCCTGCAGGATCTTGGGGTCTGCTTACCTGAATTTAAGAATTAGACAAATTCCCTGAAAGAAAAATCTCAAGACCTACTCAAAAGATACCATCTTAACTCCTATTAATGTCAAAACTAATAACAAATAGTGGACAAGTATTATTAATCTAGTCCTACAATCTTCCTTGGGCATTTGCTGTTGATAACCACCATTGGAGCCTGGATACAAAACTAAGTAGAATTTTGCTTAGGTCACAGGTTTTAACACTAGTTACATAGGCTCCCTCCTTTCATATGGAAAATTATACATTTGGCTCCAAGAAATATAGTTTTCAAGCTCAGTGAGGATAGCTGGACAGACTGTTTTGAAATATGCTGGCTGAGCAGCTTACAGAAACTCAGATTCGCATGTTCCACAGAAAAAAAGAGAGGCTCTATTATAGTTTTTTACATCATATTACATTGCTATTACTCTAACCTCTTAGAGATAGATAACACTCCAGCTGGGAGGTGCCATGAGGACATGAACTACATACAAAACATACAGAAAAGTAATTTAAAACCTCATTGACTAACACTCATCACACCCTAGGGGGATCTCATCCTCTCTGTTAAAAGATAGTTTCACTTCTACCAAGTGCAGAAACTGTAGTCTTGTTATTTGAATAAAATCTAAATTTAATATGGGATTTCTTTTTAAATGCAAAAGAAAAATGCCGGAAAGGAAGTCAAATCACCAGCCTTTGTTAGGACAGAAACTTGGCAATACCCTTCTCGGTTCTAACATGCATGTTAGGAAATATTCCTCATTTAAAATAGCAGGTAGCAGATAAGAACTGCCTACTGAGATAGCCATACCACTCTTCTGGTTTTATGTAAGAAAGTACTTACGTAGTTAAGATCCACCTAGTCATCACCTCACACTAATGTTTGTCGATGCCTACTTCAACTCATTTCAAGGCCTTTAACGTAGAGGAACATTGTTACCCAGATCTTGTCTACAGATTTGATATTATAAGGTGAGTCTCGGTGCTCCTCATTTTTTGACACAAAGCTGGCTAAAACCTTTCTCTTTCCAAGAGAGACTCGAGGCATGAGCACACAACCTAAGTGTGCAAAAACTTACCACTCCTCATCCAAAAAAAAACCATACCAAGAGGTGCCAGACGAGTCCCCCAGCACGCTCCAAACTCAGTTGTCAGCACCTACCATATAAAAACTGGGAGCACTGTGTGTAGCCTTCCTCCATCTCCTCACATTTGTCTGCAGCCGTCTGCATGTCACTGTAGGTCATTGCAAATACTGCTGCACCCGACTCCACCAGGAACTTGCACACCTGCACGTTATTGCAAGATGCTGCACAGTGTAATGGGGTCCTGTAAGCCAAAAAGAATAAAGATGACGACTTGTATTTTTATTTTAGCAGCACTTACAGCCTCCTAGGGGCAAGCCACTTCCATGTGCGACCTCCAGCAGTCAGTACCAAATCACTAAAGGCTCCCCACTGAAAGTGTTTAACCCAAAATGTCAAGAGCAGTTGTTTTTCCCAGATAACAGGAGATACTAAGAGCTGCTTAAGCCCTAAACGTAGGTTTCCATATGGGTCTCTGGTTATGCTACCTTCTCAGAATCCATTAACATTTTAAGAATATTCATTAAGAAAATAAAAAGATCAATATTAAAAAAAACACTCAGAAATCCTCCTGACATCATGCATTTTACAATCTAAATAATTACTCCAAGACCTGACTTGGTGACAAGTGCAGATAATTGGGACAAATAGGGAGGCTGAAGGCACAGCAAGCACCTTTATTCAGTCTTGAGCCTCAGATACTTTTGTTATGGGAAGAAATAACAGTAAAATCACTACCTCCTATCCTTCTGTAAATAAGCTCCCTAGATACCTTAAGAAAGGTTTGTAACCCATTATTAGCTAAAAGTCTAGTTTGTAGGTTGTGGTTTTCTGCTTTGTTTTGGTTTTAAGTTTTCTAAGCATCATCTGCAGAACTGAGGAGAGTTTGCGGGGCTGAATATTGCCTACAGCACGTGTAAGCTGCATCTCAGAGAGGAAACTGGAAATTTCATCAAACAGCTCATTAAGCTTAAGCTGTCTTTGTTATCTCAAAGAAAGAACAATTTTCCCGACAACTGGTATCGAACCTACGGGACCTCAGACATACATTTTTTTCATATAGGGAATGTTAATATAATTTGTGTGGTTTTCCTCTGTATATTCTCATGTGATGCCCCACAGAGAACTGCTGTTGCTCTACTATGGAAAAGTTGTTGTCAGCTCTACAGGAGCAAAATGAGGGATCTTCTGTAGATGCCTCCTAGCTCTAGCTCTCTTGTGAGAAACATCTGTGAGGTACCACCAAAGAAAGTCTTACCATCCATCACTATCTGCAGCGTTCACGTTCACTCCAAATTGCACCAGGAATTTCACAATTTCTGTGTGTCCAGCACACACAGCGTTGTGCAGTGCAGTTATCCCTTCGTCATTGGGCATGCTAGGATCTTCAACCTACTCAGCAAGAAAAGGAGCCATTTACATTCCGGTGAAGCTCTCAACAATAATCATCTCTTCACATATAAAAATGAGTTGTGCTATTGTGAAATACAATTTTAAGCCATACTTCTAGGAAGGGTTGAGCAACAGGCAAAAAACTACAGTAGCAATTGATGTTACAGGAAGGCTTGAATATAAGCTTGCAGCCTCCTTTTAATAGCGAGAGCCTGAAGTGGTTCAGAAAAATAGCATCCTGATAAGTTAGTAAAAGCATTTTTAACAAATTCCTATTTAACAGCAAGCAAAATTCACACGGATTTTGCTAATCAAATTACCTCATAACATTCCAGACAAGAGAAGAAACACCATAAGAAATGAGAAAAAAGTTGTCCTACAAATGTATAGCCTTGATGCTAAACACCCAGTGTGGATTTAACACACCTAAAATCAGTCTCCAAGTGGCCATGTACTGCAAGGACCATCTCCTCAAGGGCAGATCTGGGTTATGCACTATTATTTTAACTATCTTAGACCACAAAAGAAAGCTGTGACTTCCCAGTTTGAACAAGGATGGCTGTTCCTTCTCCTAAAAGTTAAGATTTGTACCTCATAGATTATTCTCTGCACGAGATCAAACTCTCCCTCCAAGGATGAATCCAGAAGCAACGCGAGGGGATTGAATTTCACTCTCATTCCATGCCCAATTCTCTCGGAGCCAGTTTTACGCAGGTTCGTCCTCTTCCCCTGTGAAAAGGTAACACAAGTTACAGACAATTTTTTCTTAGGAAGAACAAGAATACAGAATTGCTTATTTGGGAATGACATCAGAAATGACCAGCTAAGGCAGTGTTTAATATGTGATTTGGATTATTTTCTACCAGATCCCTAGCACATTACAAATATAGTAGTTTAGGCATATTATGAAAAATCTCTGCCTTTATCTCTATACAAGATCTAGAGATACTCAAAATACAAAAGTGACCTTGATCATACACATGGACAAAATAACAGAACTCCCCAAACCCGGAACACCAGGAAAGAAAATGTAATTTTTTCTTTTTAATTCAGACCATTTTAGTATTCTCTCTTAAAGCTGTTACACAAACTAAGCAGCACATTCCCTGAAGTATCTCACCTCTTGAACACCAATGCTAAGTTCCTAATACTTTCCCAAGTCTAGCAAAAGTTAGCAAGACCCTAAACAGTTACAGAAACTGGTTTTGGAAAGAATATAACAGTGTAAAAACGCTTTCAATGCTTCTGGTGATACTAGAAACTATTTCTATAGCCGAGTTTGTACTCTTTCCATCAGAGAATATGCACGCGGAGAATTAGCTCAGCGCTCGCCCCAGCTGGCTGTGCAGCAGCAACAAGCACTATTCATGAGGGTATGTAAACTTCTGACAGATGTCCAAGCAAAGATGAATAGAAATGAATCATGTTTTACAAGAGCAGACACGTGAAGATACAATATGTAAGAAGAGATTCCCAGAAAATTCTCTTTTGCCTGTTGATTTATACATAATATCAAAACTACAGGCTTTTTAAAGAAAGAGCCTGTCAGCAAAACCCCACTATTTAAATATGAAATCAAGAAGTTGGGCCGGTTTCTTCTCATCATTGCAGAATTCTTACAAAATCAACTAGAAATGAGCTCTTACAATCCAGGAAATCCTAACCTCAAGTTTCCTTGTAAAAGGGAGCAAGAACAAAGCCTTTAAAGTACGAAAACAAGCAATGACTATTTCGCGCAGAAATTAAAAGGTTAAAAAGCACATTTAAAGCTTTTAACTCCTCTGCACTGAAGTGATGGAGGAAAAACCACTTTCATGTAATCAAATTATTAAAATTATGTTCATGATAGGCTTTAAAAAGAAACTCTTTGAGGAACTGAAAGCATTAAGCATTTCTGATCCATATCAATGAAGTAACACCGTACCACACACAAACTTCCAAAACAAACAAGATGGTAAAATGCTGCCTATCCTTAGCCCAAAGAGAATCTATTGTGACATGTCTTGAGAACTGACTGATGTTCAATCACATTCCAAGGGAAAATTCAGAAAATATTTTGGTAGAAGAAATGCAAGCAGCTGATGTCTACAAATGTGTTTTTAAAGCAGAAACTAAGAAATCTGTTTCTCCATATTTTTCAACCTCAACTTTCAGATAAATTCAATCTAGGATTAAGATAATCATTTTCCAACTCATATTAGCAATAGTAGGAAATGCTTGTGAAATCTGTGTCTGCAAAAAAAAAAAACCACAAACCAACCCCACACCAAAACACAAAAACACCACTTACATTTCTCTTAAGAAGGAATTATAGATTGGATGTAGTAGGTAGACTACATTCCAGAAAGGAATCTTCTTTACAGTCCAGTAGGTTTTACTATTGTGTATCAAATTCAACACAGCAATGTGCCCTTGTGGCCAAGAGGGCCAATGGGATCCTGGGGTGCATTAAGAAAAGTGTCTCCAGCAGGTCTAGGGAGGTTCTCCTCCCGCTCTGCTCTGCCCTGGGGAGACCACACATGGAATAGTGTGTCCACTTTTGGGCTCCCCAATTCAGGAGAGACAGGGGCCTACTGGAGAGAGTCCAACAGAGAGCTACGAGGATGATGAAGGGACTTGTGTCGGAGCCCTGGCACAGGCTGCCCAGAGAGGTTGTGGAGTCTCCTTCTCTGGAGACTTTCAAACCCCACCTGGATACGTTCCTGTGTGGCTGCCCTAGGGGATCCTGCTCTGGTAGGGGGGTTGGACTAGATCTTTCAAGGTCCCTTTCAACCCCTAAGGTTCTATGATTCTATGAAATTCCATTTGAAACCATTCATCATGTCATTAATTCTAGAGATAGATTTTTAATTCTTGTCATTCATTCTGGAGATAACAGTGTCACAAAAACAGACCAGAGACCCAAAGAGACACTTCTAGATTCTTCACGTGAGTGGCCTCTCACATCTGCTTAAGCTCTAAAACACAATGCATGGGATTCACAGCAGACCTCGTGCTAAGTTAATCGACAGGCCGTCTGAGTTGTAGCCTAACCAATACTTACAGGAGGCAAGGAAAACTGTCCAGTAACTTCAGGAGGCCTCATATTGAAGGAGTCCTCTCCCAAACTCTCTGGTTCCCCTGATGGATAGGGAGGTGGCGGGTATGGAGGATATTCTTCCATGTATACCTCCAGTGGCAGTGAAGCTTCTACGCTTGGTTCTTCTATTTTCGGCTCTGCGAGTTCATCACCATCCGACACTCCCTCAGGTACAGGGTCCAAAGCTGCAGAGGGAGTAACAGCTTCACTCTGATCTGGTGGCGTGTTTTCTGCTTCCTCAGCAATTGCTGGTTCTGGCACAGAAATAGCCATTTCTTTTTCCGATTCTGCACTTAAATAAGGATTCGGGATTTCTGGTGGGCTTTCAGGACTGGCAGCTGACACCATCTGCTTGGAGGGATGTGATGGAGCCGAGATAGTCTCCATTGCAGCCAGAGTGGTCCTCTGATACAACAGCTTCTGAATATTTGGGCCATTAGGTCCTTCTGGCTCAGTAATGGAACTACGTTTCTTCAGTGGTCTGGGTGCGTTGGACAGCTTTTTCCGGAGCGCTTCCAGATCAGCATCACTCTGGTTGCGGTACGGATTGGATAAGAAAGGCAGCAATTTGGTTGGGCTGAGCGGACGGGGTATTCGCTCTGTTTCGTGATTGTCATGAGCGGAAGCTGTTGCTTCTGTCTCAGGCTCCGGACTGCCTGGCTTGCCATGGAGGTTTGAGTAGACGTTCTCCGTCTGTGGCAGCTGATTCTGTACACCAGCTCCTGCCATCACAGGCTTGCCATACACTGCACAGCAAGAAAAGACAAGCGTGAGTATTTGATCAACAAATCTAATGTGCTCAGGTGGCCTGGAAGGCCAACGGCATCCTGGCTTGTGCGGCCAGCAGGAGCAGGGGTGTAATTCTGCCCCTGTGCTCAGCACTGGTGAGGCCTCCCCTCAGGTGCTGTGTGCAGGTCTGGGCCCCTCACTGCAAGAAAGACCTTGAGGGGCTGGAGCGGGTCCAGAGGAGAGCAACGAGGCTGGAGAAGGGACTAGAGGGAAAGTCCTGTGAGGAGAGGCTGAGGGAGCTGGGGGTGTTTAGCCTGGAGAAGAGGAGACTCAGGGGGGACCTTATCACTCCCTACAACTGCCTGAAGGGAGGGTGTAGTCAGGTGGGGGTCGGGCTCTTCTCTCAGGCAGCTACTGATAGGCCAGAGGGCACAGCCTGAAACTGCATCAGGGAAGGTTCAGGTTGGATCTCAGGAAGCACTTCCCACTGAGAGGGTGCTCAGGCACTGGGATGCACTGCCCAGGGCAGGGGTGGAGTCCCCGTCCCTGGAGGTGTTTAATGGAGAGGCTGGATGTGGCACTTAGTGCCCTGGTCTGGCCAATGTGGTGGTGTTGGGTCACAGGCTGGACTTGATGATCTCAGAGGTCTTTTCCAGCCTCAACAATTATGTGTGATTTTGTGAAGCAAGTGAACAGAATCCATCTGATAACCAAGTTTACCATTTGTTACCTAGCAAACACCAGATATATTCTGCATTTATTGCCAACACAGATATACAGCATGTAAGATCCACCTGAGATTCCTGGAGCTGCACCAACCTGCTCAATTACCCCAAGCCTTATAGCCAGAGACCAGGTGGAAAGCACATCTACCTGAGGTTTACAAAGACAGAAGAGAGGCAGAGTGCCGCATGCTTACCACTCGGGAAGTGGGATCCTCTGGTCTGCGCCCTCGTCAAAGCGCTCTGCACTGCCTGCTGGAAGTTCTTCCCAGGAGTCTGCTGTTGTGTGTACATGCTATAAATTGAACTTGCGGCCACAGTCTGAGGCTTCCGAAACGGTGGGAGTGAGGTCTCTTTGGATGGCTGAGGGGTAAAAGGTCTCACAGCTGCTGCTGGGGGACTCTCCTGTTTGGAGGAGGGAAGAATTTGGTCCTGGCTAGAGGAAGGACCTGCAGGAGGTACAGAAATCCTTTGCTGTATCTGCTGAGAAGCATGGGAAGGCTGCTGTGCTGCTGTTTTTTGTTTGTTCCCCATAGTTACGATAGCCAAAGGCAGCTTCTGCAGGTTTCCATCCAGCTTCGTATCAGAAGGCTGCAGATGACTGGCTTGACCAAAGTAAGGCAAGTTTATCTGTTTTGGTTTAGTGGGGACAGGTGGTGGTACCTTTGTTACGTTTTTATTAGCTGTCTGAAAGACAAAATGTTAAACAACAAAAGAGGTTTTGAGAGCTCTACATGAAGGACCAAAGACTTTCTAAAAATGATACAGTAGCATTTCTGCTGTTGCTGCAATACTGTTTACATCATCACCAGAAACATGAAGACACTTCTTGAAACATTTTATCATGATAGTTGTTCACACCTTGAACCCATTCTGTTTCATTCTTTCCTTAGCAGTTACATTTAAAACATCAAGCAACGGCAGGGCACAGTGATTTCCTTAGAGATAAGCGAATAATTAGCATCTGTATGCAAAAATCTCTTTTTCCAAAGGAGCACCTGTCAACCCTGGCTCTTCTATGCTATTTCACCCCTCCCTGATCAGACTGTGCCCTTGTGCCAAGACTTAGGTAGGAAGTCTTGCCGCAATTAAACATCACTAGGTTAACAGTTGTACTCGGTTATCGTAAAGGTCTTTACCAACCTAAGCAATCTAAGGTTTTATATGAAGGACACTGCTGCACTGAACAGTGAAACAAGCATGTAAAAATTACTTCTAAAATCCCATACAAGTGTCTCTCTGAATAGTCAAAATAAGATCACCACAGTGACTGCACAGAACAATTTTGAGTTACTAACTGTCATTAAAAGTCTGAAAGACTTTTTTTATTCCCCCCCCCCATTAGAATTAGTCTTCTTTTAAAAGACCTAGGTACTTTTCAAAGATCTTCCCAATAGCAATATTTGAAAAGCTGTGCAGCAATCCCCATCAGACTGAACGCAGTAGTTTGGGTTTCCTGCGTACCTGTGCTTCACGCAAGAGATCTTCGCTGCTCTGGTTCTTTCTCAGTGTGCCAAGCCCAGCAGACTGGTCCACAGAATCAAACATTGAGAATGGACGCACTTTCTTCTCTTTGTCTCGTAAAAAAGTTTCTCCTTCAGCTGTTGTCAGGAAGAGAGGAAGATTTTTAAAGGAGCGACACAACTGTAGGTGTAAGAGTCCCACTCCGTGCAGCACTCAAGACAGTATATGCAAGGGATGCTTTTTGTATCCATCCTAACCCCTGCGTGAAGGGTCTGCCAAATGCTGTATCTTGCAGGTTGAACGGGAGCACGTATGAAGGCATTAGTATTTAATTTTTTTAAAAAACAATTTTTTAAAAAAATCCCTGCAACACCATACTGAAGCTTATATGGTGATCCCAAGTTTTTCTGTGCTCTCAGATTAGAATTCTACATATTTACTGAAACATTTAGAAGGTACAGATATCAATAATCAGATCATCCATATTTTAAGATTAGTCAAGCACATAAGAACATACCTTGTCCTTCACTAGTCACATTTCCTTTTCCTGAAGTCAAGCCTGATCCTTGACTAATATGACTGTCTGCATTTGAACTACTCCAGTCAGTGGCAGTTGGGGAAGGTTTTGCACTGGGGACCACAGAACCTTCGAGAGACCAAGTGGGACAGATTAAGCCAAAAATAATGTTTTTATTGACTTATTTATTACAGGTAGGATTTATAAGAGACAGGTCTAGACAGTGTACAGGTATCATATACAGGCTTACTGCTACAAATCCTGTCACTTCATATTTTTGCTCATTTGTTTTACAAAGAGAATAAAACACCAAGCGCAGAAACAGCAATCAAAGCAGCAGTCAACTATTGTCCTAGCACAGCATTTAGACAAGAAACTTCTCTGGATTTTTTTCTAGTCAGAAACTTTCCTTGGATATTTGCACTAAGTTAAAAGTGATGGGATGGTAACAAGGTGTAAGATATACTGTGCAAAGAAAAACACAATGCTTTAAGTCATAAACAGATCCTGTCAGCGATATCCAGAACAGCAGAAAAATCATCTGTACGTTCAACGTGCATATGGGCCTAACTTCCAAGCTGATCTTTACATTCACTGGAGTAGGCATCCAGTCTGCTTCAAAAATAACTAAGAAAAAACTTGCAACTTGCTATTTATTTAAATATTTTCCCAAATTCTCTCTACTAAACACTAAGGTAATTAGTATAGTAAGCGATAATAAGTTCAAACAGAGACAATAAGCAGCAGGAGAAAAGTTTCATTCTGAGAAGTATCAGATACTGTCTCTCTAGGAAAGTAGTCATTTTGCCCAAATGTCGAATTATTAGGAGTGATGTTTTTGTTCAAGTAGCATACTACCATAAATTCCTATAGGAAAAATTCAAATTTTGCATGGAAGAGAGCTAGGATTCCACTCTGACAGTGAATCTGCAAAGCAGATAAAACAAAACAGTTCCCCATTCTCCAGTACACCAAGAGACACTTGGACTGGTTTTGTGCCATGGCTACTTCAGTGATATTTGCCAGAACTGAAGATGGAGGGAAGGAGATAAATTATTGTAAAATTATTCTAGAAGCTCAACTTCCATTTTATCCTTTTGGAAGATCTAAGTTTCTCTTCTCTCCCAGCTGAAAAGTGAGTCTCCTCCTCCCAAGACAGCACAGAGGAGATCTGCAACTCCCCAGTTTCTCCCAGCTTCTACTCTCACAGATTTGAGCTGCATCTCGTAGGAGAAAGCCCCAGAGAAAACCCAGCAAGTCTCCAAGGGGGAGAGGCCAAGCCTCATGCCAGGTGTTGGGTTTATATCTCTATATAACTATGATCTGCATGTCAGCAACTTTACTGATCTTTCTGTATTACAATCAATTGCCTCCTTTATAATATTTCCTGTAATGTCAGCTAATCCTTTACACGTGTCATTTCCAAAATGCGCAATCAGTAAACTTTGCTTTGCTAGTTTTTAAGTCAAGGCACCAGGTTTGTTATCATGTGTCCTAAAACTGCCTCTAGAAACTCAAAAGCTGTTGTATAGTTTTGAGGAATATTTTAATAAATAGTTTACCATAAACTCCTCTTATGTTCTGCGCTGTGTAACAACTCAAATTGCTAAGACAGCTCCTTAATTTATAAGGCATTGAATCGTATAATCTCAGTGCTTATAAAATATATTCACTGGTGCAGCAAAATCATAAGTAGCAAGACTGACATCTCAAATAACACTTCACTTAAAGACAGAGTTGATAGATAATAAAATATTTCTGGAGAAGAAATATTAATCATAAGCTATTACCTGGAGGGGCTTTAGCTTGTGAACTGCTCCCAGCTCTCATGTTGGGCAGAGTCTGTGTTTTCAATGGACCATCAGGAACCTGTAAACCTTGTGTCCCATCTGAAAATGCTGGTTTTACCAAAAGTTCAGGTCTGGAAGCAATACGTGGCATAGTAGAGGACTGGATATAAGGACCTACTGCTGCCACTCGACTTGGAGCAGAAGCCACCGGCTGAGGTAAATTCCCATCTGAAGAAACCTTTGGAGAAAAAGAAAATTTAAAGAATGTTATGCCACAGTATCCATCCATCAGAGTTTAAAACAGAAGTCAAAAAGGATTAAAGTAATATAAAGTGATACTCCAGTATTAAAAAAACTTTTAAAAAAAACCCTTAAAGAGATATAAACCTGAGGCAGAACTAACAAAAAAAATAAAATCTAAAAAAAAAAAAATCCACAACAGCATAAGAAGAGTTCTTCTCCATAAAGAATAAGTAGGTTAACACCAATGTACCATGAACAGTACTTTAATAATACAAGACTTCCATCACGTATAGATAAAAACAAGTCTAGCATCTCACTAGCCTTCTCCTAAAGCAAGTTTTTACTTCAAACCGCATGGTCCACAAATGAAATTAATTTTTGATACCCAATATCCCACACTTACCGGTACATTCTCTTTCTGTTGCAGAGCTGCCTTTTTCTTCCACAGGCGCTCTCGCAGCTCATTAACACGCTTATCCATGACTGCCACCTCCGAGTTGCGCTTGTTCAAACACTCCCTCTGTTGCTGCAGCTTGGCATTCTGCTCCTGGTTCAGTTTGTTCCTCAACTGAATAAATTCACAAAGCGGGTGGGGGAGGAGGGGAAAACAACAACAACAAAATCAAAACAAATTAACTTTCAGGATGGGGGACAGGAAACACTAACAAAAAGAGAAAAGCCTTCTAAAAAGTCAAGTTAAGCTGGCAAATTCAGATTATTTTCTCTCGAGAAAATGTTGGTTAGCCTCAAAATAGTGCAGAAAGGTATGTACAGCACACACTCCTTCCCCTGTTTACCTTGAGCGCAGTACAACCAACTCTTCATCCTCAGAACATGCAGCCCCATCAGGAACAGGAGCAATGAGATTTCTTCCCAACAAGATAAGAAATAGCCCAACCCAACTTTTAGTCCTCACAAGCCGTGAGGTCCTGAGCTGCCTTTCCATTACCTGCAGCTCCTTGTACAGGCGGTCAAGCTCAGCTACGGCCGACTGGTTGTCATGGTAACCATCAATTCGGCCGTTCTTCAGCATCTCCAGTTGCCTGGTGAGTTCCTCCACCTTTGACACAGCCAGCACCAGCTCGCGCTGCTTTTGCTGGAACAGGCTGTTCATCTGTTCAATCTCCTCCACTGAAGAGAGGACGAGAGAGCACAATAGCTGCCCTGAGAAACAGCCGAGCGTGGGCTGCTTCCAAGGCAGCGGAGAAGGGGACAGAGAGCGCCCCATCAGCCTCTGGAGCACAGGCTGCAGCCGGCTGCCACAAACTCGTGGACCCTGCCAAGCCAGGCATTCTTAAGAACAAACACACTAGCAAGATTAGGTCTATTACTAGCAAGTAGGTCTACTTAGAGCACCAATCAGGAGGTTACAAAATAAATAAATAAATAAATAAATAGAGAATTGAACCAACCAAACGTTCTTCACATTCTCAAGCATGGACACAAACAAAACCACGGTAGCAGGCTGAATATATCTGTGGAAGCCTAAATTCACTTAATGCTGAATTGTGCAGGAAGACACTCACTGAACTAAAAGGCATATTCATAATACCCAAAACCTCTGAATTTAGGTTGTAAAAACTCAATGACAAAACACTTGAGCTGTTATATTAAAGACTCAGGAGGCTTTTTAGGGTGTATTACAAGTGGCTGTCATCAGCTGCCAGAATTGTCAAAACTGTTGCATTTTAGAATAAAGTTTAAGAAATCAGTAAGAGTTCAAGCAAGTACCAAGACCAGACCTACTGAGGAGGATGCAGGGAAACTGATACACATGCTCCATGATCTTGTATTACTTTGCAATCCTTCTATTCCTTTAAACTGGCATTTATTTTGTGCAACTGAAACCAAACAGAAAATGCATTTTCCCATAGAAAACCACTTCTGCTTTATCTGTAAGCACTATGCTTCCTAATAAAATAATGTATTCACCATTTACCTTAATAAACTAATATATTTTCATTTGAATTAGCTGACAATTACAAGATATCTACAACATATGCACAGAGGGAAGATGAAAAGGTAGTCAGAAGAACCTGTGTTGATACGAAAAATTGTTTAATGTTGTATCAACATGCTGAACTGCAAGCATCCAACTAGTACTGTACGATGCCAGACACCAGTCGGATTTCTGTAATTAAAAAGAAAATACTCAGCCACTTTGGCCATTAAGTTACCTCTTGCATAAGAGGCAAAAACAGTATCAGGCCAAGCTTTGTTATAGGCTAAGAAAGTAAGACTCAGAATGAGTGCAGTAATCACGTCAAGGATAGAAAAGGTTACTGTGGTACACAAAGGTATTCAAGCAAGGAAAAACTCACGCTGTAATTAAAGAGCAGATATGCTGGGCTCAAAACACAGGGTGCCTTTATGGGGTTTTTTTAAAGTACAGTAAGAAAATACATTTTGGCCTAGGTTATTTGGGAGTTTTCTTGGTAAATACAAAATGTGAAATTGTTAAGTTCAACATTGCCTGGAAGGCTGTAAATACCTTCTTCTGAATCACCAGAAATTTCAGAGTTCCCAGAACCACACTTAATGAAAAAATCATAGGCTCTTTTCCCCAAGCAGCAACTCACCTAATTTCCCATTGCTAAGTCTTTTTTGCTCCACGTGGCCTTTCAGTGCTCTCACTTTCTTAAGTTTGGCTTCCTGATTCTCAGCAATTTCCTTTAATCGCTTCAGTTTTTCTTGCTCAGCAGCCTGCTGTTGCTGTCGCTGATCTTGCTGTTTCAGGAATTTCAGACGTTGTTCCTGCAGTCAAGACAGGGATTTTTTTTTTTTCTTTTGATGAACTTATGTTAAGGTACTGACAGAAATAATTTCAAAACTTAGAAACAATCACCAAAGCAGCTCTGATCACCTTTAGCCCAGTATCTTGACTTCCCAGAACGTCAAGGGAATTCTGAGAGAACAGAGAAAACACACTAATTCTGTCCCAATATAGTCCTCCAGATACAACCATTCTGTAGTACAAGAACCTACTGAAATATTGGTAGTATCCACGTCTAACAGACCTTGGTGAATTTTTCTTCCATTAAATTCCTCAAAGACCTTCAAAGGCTAAGAAAAAATTCTCATATTCATGTTCCATGACATTTGCAAATTTAATTTATTTGCTACTTGGCACTCGTGTTGCAAGAGCTAATGATTATTTCCCTTTTACCGTCCCCATGGTGCCTCTACCTTACAGGTCTCTATCATTCATCACATCTGAAACAAGTAAGTCATGCTGGAGAGTATTAGACGTTCTTTATATAGGAGGTATTCCATCAGTTATTGATCATTTTCATCACTGTCTGTACTTCTACTAGTTCTGCTAGAACCACCTTGAGATGGGGGATCATCACACAGCAAAGTTCTGAAAAATCTATCATCTCCTGGTAGTGATCACCACTATCTCAACATAGGATGAATGAAGACATGGGAAAACCTTCATAATGGCCTGTCCCCCATTTCTACAACAGACATCTCGGTGGAGAGAATCCTTTTGCTATCATAGAATGCATTGGGCTGGAAGGGACCTCTAAAAGTCATCCAGTTCAACCTCAAATACTAGTTTCTATATACAAATGCAACAGTTCAGAGCTAAAAGAAACTACTACATCAGTTAGAGACGTCCTTTAAATCACCAGCCACTACATACAGCTTCCAGTTCTGGAGATGATATGTTGTTCCAGAGGTAGGAGGACTACTAAGATTTTCCCAAGCACCCGCTAACAGCCAAGACTACCACTTACTAACATTAGAAGTCAACATTTCCTCAAAGACAAAAAAAAAAATCACCACTCCTATTTAGAAACAGGGAGTCTTCTGCACTCTGAATAAAAAAGGAAAACCGAAGAGTAAGTTTGCCTTCTGTAGAAAAGCCAGGCAACACTCGCAGCATATGCACTAGTTTAGAGTCAATCCCACACAGGAAAATGTCAAAAAATAGATACTACAGCTCATGTCTAAAAAGAAAGTGTATTTTTCCCGCTCAAAATCTATTTTTAATATTGCATCTGATTTCAGAAGGCAACAGACAGGCGACAGAAAGTGCCTCCTTGGAACAAGTCTTTCCTGGATGCCCTTTCAGAGAAGCAACGTTAAACACAAAACTCTCCCATGGGACACTCAGAAGGCTACTCTTCTGCAAACCAGAGGCAGCAAACACCTACCCGGACAGGAAGCTATCTGCTCTCAAACTCTTTTTTTGTTTGTTTGTTTGTTTTTAAAGTGTCTTGCATTATTCCCTTTGTAATAAATATATACAATGTTCCTATTTCTGATTTCAATATATATAGTGACTACAGCATTACTGCCACTTACAAGGGCAAAGTCTATTACTGTCACCTGTGAGTCAAGCAGCCAGAAGTTATGAAAGTTTCTGCTTCTCCTTTACATGAACAACTCACTTGTCAGCTGGAATCAAGAAGAGGCAACACTTTACCCTTGGCAAACTAATCTGGGCAGGATAGGGATTGACTGTTCTGCTAAAGTTCAAGTGAAAACTAAAATCACTTGGCTGACTGATTTCTTTCATTTATATTTGCATCTTCTTCATACCAGTTCTTATCATAAAAAGAGAAGTCAGTACTATGGCCTGTAAAAATAGTTGATAAAATTTGCTTTGCAGGGGCTTCGGAACATTAGAAAGCCATAGTTTGAAGCAGTCCTGACACACACTTACTGAAAGCCAAGCAAACTTAAAAAAAGATGCTAAATGTATGGGCTGGGGCAGGGAAGAGGAGTGAAACTTGGGTATCTCAGAGGGGGAGCGAGAGAGGGCTTCTGACAGAGGAAGAGCAGCAACACAAGGCCCCCAGAGCAGCCTCCTTGCCCACCAGAGCACGTTCTGAAAGGCACAGAAGTCATGCATTCAGACAGTCGAGGACAATCTGGGATGGGCTCACACTTAATGATTCTCTGCAAAAAGCAGCATTTTCCATGGTATTTTCAAGAGCAGTCATGTACCAACAACGCTTAAGTCAAATATGAAACCCACGCCACGATCCTGCAGACATGTTCAGACTATTTTGTCCCCTAAAAAACTCAGGAGCACTCTGAGTACTTTCATTGCTGAATAATAACGAAAAAGCTAATCACTCTCCTAGTCACTTTTGTCACATATATGCCACCTTTTCCAGACAGCTGCCCCAGGAAACCAGGCACTGAACTCTGTCAGGAGAAAGCGAGGTATCACAGGACAGTATTATATCTAGACACAAAAGGGCTGTTCAGTGATCAAACCAGTGAAAGGCTGGTCACCACATGGAACACAAACAGGGCTGGCAGAGCCACCAGGACAAATGACAATATATTAATGTTACATGCTCCACCCTTTTTAGCAAGCTATCCAGTTACTTCTATTGCTAGCACTGTTTCAGTGTTTCACTACAGGATATTTGCATAGCTTGACTTCAAATTTAAAAGCAGGGAGCCAAAGAAAGGAAGCCCTCTGCTTATAAGAGGTGAAAAAAAAAAAAACAAACAACCCCTAAATCCCCAACCCTCCCTGCACCTCATGTGACTCTCAGTGTCTTTGTTCCTGACTGTAAACACCCAACCTCACTCCAAACTCACCTTGTTAGCTAGCATTTGCTGTTGAGCCTCAATTTGTTGCTGCTGGCGGGATGCCATTTCCTGAAGTTCAGCCAGTGTCATATCCATCCTCGGAGCACTGACCTGTCAAAGAAAATTCAAAGCATGATAAGTCTAGAATTTTTCACTTGGCTAGCGTGCAGCTCGGAGCTACTGCAGAGAAGCGTGATAAAGGTCTTAAAGAAAACCAAACCCCAAACCAAAACTCCAACGACTCCATCTAAGTATCCAATAAAATAATTAGAAAGAAATGGCATATTTCTATGGTAAGAGAATAAACAGTTTTAAGCTCATACAAATGCACAGCCCAATCCAGCAACACACATAAGATGACATCTCTTGAAACATTAGTATTTCTAGCAAAATCCTGGTGGCATTTTAAAGAGGTGTTTCAGAGGCCCTTATAATTAAGCTCAGCATGAATCAGCTTTAACTGACTGAGCCCAGAAAGCTCAGCACACAGTAGGATGGATCTGTGGTCGTAGGTGTACTGCTGCAATTCAAAGCACTTCAACGTCAGTAGTTTAAATATAGTGTGGGGGGAAACTACCACCCTCAAAGGTAGCACTATTATAACATTAGTTAGCTCTTCACATCTGTTTCCTGAATCCAGATTCAATTTTATAACCATAATTGTATTCTCCAGGACAAGAATAAATGACAGATGGGGATTCAAAACTGAAACACTAACTGGTCTCAACTTGAAAATTGAAACTAGAGGATCTCTGACACAAAACCAAACGTGGGGGCGGGTGAGAAATCTATGGCACAAAATGAGAGAAAATGAGGAAAATGAGTAGTAAAGGGAAAGTATGCTGAATTTGAACAGGTGATCTCAGAGCAGCAAATACAGATATGGTAGCCAATGGATATCAGAGGCATCTTAAGAACTGAAATACAGAGTGGTAATTGTTAGAGACTTTGTGTTTGGTTTACAGCAGTCATTAGAAATCTCTCCAGAATAGCCTCTTAGTTTCCAGGGTGGGATTTGCACCAGTATCTGAAAAGAAAGGAAGCCTCCATTTTCACAGTACTGGCCATTGCTTCAAGAACTTACTCCATTCTCTAGTCTTCGATCACCAGGCACTTTGACACCATTTCTTTTTAAGGCTGGATCTTGAGATCTTTGTCCAGTCCCTAGATAAAAAACACATGGTTGTAAGGTCCCTTTAGACATAGCACTCAATACAAAACAATAAACAGTACAATCATTTGGGTTTAGAATCTGAACAACTGTTCTTCCCACATTCTTACCACTGAGATAAACTTAACACAAGGTATTTTATGAAGAGGCTGCTGTTCAGTGTCAGCATTTATTTTAAAACATAAGACTGTTTGAAAACAGACAAACAAACAAAAAGGTTAACCAACAGTATGCTATTGTGATATTTCTCCTGTGGTCAACAGGCCCCTAGGAAGTCATAAAATTGTGTTTCCCACTGCAAATGACACAAAAAATATCTGGTTAATTCACAGCAAAGTATTGGGACCACAATGTCTTAAAATCAGAATCTAAATGTCAGCTGTCTCACTGAGAATTTGGAGTAGGAACAGTCAAAGATTAGTCACATATTTTAATAGATGCCCCATTTAATCTGCAGGTGATTACTTGCACATAACTGTTTAAAAGCATAAGGGTTTGTTTTTTTCTTCCTGGCAGTCACTGTGACAGTAAAGATGCTACTTAACTAGAATTCTATCGCAATGTTCCCAGCAAACTATGTACAAATGGTGTTCAGACACCAAATATCAAGCTTGTCCATTTCCCTAAGGGACAAACATAGAGTACACGATGAAGCCATCTTTCTCAGGTTCTTGGCCACTTGATGCATATTTCCAGAGCCTATTCCTGCAAGACTAACTGCAGACCTCCTGACTGTTAATTTGCTCTCCCTCCAACATATTGCTTCACAATGCTGTGGCAAATAATCTTTACACTATGAGTACCCCGGACTTGAAAAATTACCACCTCACAACTAAACTGCCTTGTAAGACCCTTAGTAGGTAAAGATGGCACAGCTTTAACTTTCCACGTATTCATTCTAACATCATGACACACTTCAAACATAAGATACATTTAGCAATTTTAAAATATGCCAGGTACAGTGCCATTTAAAATAAACTGAGCATTTCCAATACCAAGGATGAAAACAGAAAAAAGGGAGGAGGAAGACTGATTTAAAAGTAAAAAATTTAAAAATATTCTACTGAAGATATTAATGCAGAGTGCACAGAAAAACCTTGGAAAGCAAAATGTCATTATTCTCACAGGTTTCATATCTAGATTTACAATGCAAAGCTATTACATTCTCTGAGAACTTGACCAGGCAATTCATTTAACACTGTTTCTGAAACTAATACCAATGTGTAAGATTGCGGAAGAAACATTGAAGGATTTTATTTTTTGCCAGCTATGCCAAGTTTATTGGCCCAGTCAAGTATTATCCAGGTGAAACATTCTAAGCCCAAATAATAAACTACATTACTGGACAACAGTTTTGTTACTAGATTTAAAAGAAGAGAGTATCACAGATATCCAGATATTTAGCTGTGGCTAATATATTTAATACAAGATGCACTTGGATGCTTTGGTGATGACCAGCTCTAGAAAACCTGCAAAAGTTTCAATTTGAATTTAATGTCTCCAGCTCCAGCAAGAGAGGATGAAGTATTTACTAAAATGGACAAGTTATCTGTTACTAGCATCCTCTATCCATAAGAAATATGGTCAGACTAAAAAAGAGTTGCAACACCACCCCGACTACCAACATTAATACATAACACAGGCAAGCTGTTTCCTTAACCTTGAGGAACGCAATGAAGCTTAGACAAAAGAACCAGCCGAGATGACCACCTACCTGCTTCCCGGCAGGGAGAGCGTTCATGCCGAAGGAAAAAACGAACCTCATTTCTCTGCATCCCAAAGCGCTGCAAAATATCCAGCATCCGTTCGTTGTCAGCTATGGGACGTTCTGAAAAGATAAAAAGCCAAATGACTACTAAACCCCTACGCAGCTCAAGCACATACCAGGACAAAACAAAAATCTATCACCTCTCACTTGAGCGAGCCCCTGTAATTGCTCAGGTGCAGTGTGCACACCTAACCCTTGCCCTCACCCAAAGCATCTCTACCTTTCCCTTCCACTCCTTGCTTCTGAAATAAGCCCAACACCTTTGAAAAGTAGATCCAGCCCTTTAAAAGCCAACCCCTACGGGGAGAAGCTGAGGCACTGCCACAGCCCAAGGGCAAGTAAACAGGCAATTTAGAGCTTTTGGCTCTAGCTCTTACAGTTTGTATTTGCAAATAAATCATCTTATCCTCTCACCACCACAGGAAAAGTGCCGGCATACATTCTACTCCCCATCTATGGTACCTCATACAAACCCATTTCTCAGTCATCCTCAATCCCACCTCAAGAGCTCCTCTGCCCCAGTTTCTACAGAGACTCACTTACTTTGTATTCCAGCAAGAATTGAGAGATGTAAATACAAACACTCAGAGAAGAGGAATTCTCCTACCAACACTTCCTAAGGATTGCAAACAAATGCAAGATTGCAGCCCTCACGTTCAAGCTTGGAAAAAGCGTTCGATACCCTGAAGAGGCTCCCAGGCGGTACCCAAAGGGTCTGATCCTCAACCAGCCATCACAGCTCCTGTCACTTCTAGTGTTCTCCTGCAGCTCCTGTCAGCCACAGATCCAGCTCACTCTCTTGGACAGCGAGTTTGATGAACTTCACATTACATGCATTTCAAAAGCCAGGCTTCCAATAAAACTGGAAAAGCCAAACTATTTTAGATTCCTGACTTCAAGGAAATAAAGATAAGACAGTGAAAAGCAACTTTGATAGGAACTTGCTATCTTTTTCAGACAGTTAAGATGAAGTTTCTTAAAAAGCTACATGAACAAGGTCTACTGAACTTCCTTTCCTGCTCTTGTTCCCAAGTTAAAGATTCAGTCATACTTAGAATTTTCAAGCCTTACTTGTTGCCTTTTGCTATTACAAAAACCCAATGGGAGTCTATATACAATCTACTGCCTTCATTTATCATTACTCATCCATTTCTGTATTACTGCTCTTCCAAATTTTAGACACTTTATAGCCGAGCATTAACAGAGAGGACATAATTAGAATTACTTATTGGCTTCTAAATCCTCATATAAAAGCAATTGCTTTTGTTATTTTTGACATTTTACCATAGATTTTTCTTCCTATGTTAAAAGTGACGGCAAATCCATGGCAAATATATTATAGTAGTCAACTTTACTTAGTCAGGATACTGTCATAGTATCTTATGACAACATCTGAGACTCGTGACCAGGTTAGATCCATTTGTACTAGGTGCCAGACAAACAGAATATATTGTTCCTGGCCTGAGAAATAAGACAAGCAGACAAGTACTGAAATTAAATACCCTTACTTTTGCATTGGTTTTGTTCTTCCTGACATCACTTTTGTTGGATCTTTCCTTTCATTATTTAAGCAAGGGGAGGGGGGGAAGAAAATAAAGAAATCAGAGAGTAGTTCATTCATATTCAATGGAGAGTCTTTCAAAGCCACTACCATAATATGGAATAATCATTTCAGAGTGTTAAGTATAAATGTTTTCAGTTTCTGAAGAAGCAAAGCTACTAACATATGTTTTCAGCATGTGAAAAGCTCTTTTCAACATAAAAGTGTTTCTTTAAATGAAACTGCTGCAGCTGTGCTCAAGCAATCTAGGAAGGAAAAATTCTGGAGTCACTGTCAAAAGAGATTAGCTTTACAGAATAAGCAAGTAGGTCACTGTTACAGAAAAAGCAGTCTCTTGGCGGTTACTCGTCTAGACAGCTAAAAAAGCTCTTCATCTGCTAAACCTTAATTCAAAAAAAAAAATGTAAAAAGGCAAAAATAAAAAAAAAACAATAGTACTACTGTCAGCTTTCCATCTTAAAGAATATACAGCAGGCTTAAGAGACAGATTTCTAGCAGCTCTGCAATACTTCAACTGAAACTTTATAATCAAGGGAGATGCCCTTTACACAAGGATTCTGTCAATACCACTCAGTGACTTCAAAGGAAGGTCAAACAGATTTTCAAATACCAAACAAAGCTACATTTGGAAAGCTCAAGAAGAAAGGACAAACAATCACGCTTTATTTTTTTATTCCCTATCTCAAAGGGGAAAAAAAAAAGAAAAAAGTCTTCACATATGCACACACTTTTTGATTGCTTTCCATGGTGACCAAGGTAGCTGCCTAATAGAATTCTGGCAGTAATAGGAAGATCAAGAAATTTTGCCCTGATACTCGTCACATTTCAAGCAAAACTGGGAAGACAGGGAGAGTAGTAAACTTGCCCCCTTCAGGGAACCAAGTGCCTCAAGCACACTTGCAGCAACCTTTCAAAGTAAGCTTAATAAAGTCTGACAACAGAAGCTAAAATTCCTGAGTAAGCGTCAGAACAAGACAGAGAGACACAAGCGATCTAAGAAGGATCTCAGTAACTGAAGTCCAAGAAGCCATCTTCCAACATAAAGCTTTTGTTTTTTTCCGCAGAAAGTTAGCTGCCGTGACCCATCCTTGTTTTAATATAAAGTTTAATTTGTCGGTGTAAAATGCGAACAAAACAGAAGTCATGGCAAATCTTGGCAAAACAAGATAGTGAACTTTGCTGACATCTAAAGTGAGATTGCATAAAAGTCAAAAGTATTTCTCTCCCTCCCCACCTCCTTCCCCTTAAGAAATCCAAGTTATATAGGAAAAGAGCGCTCAAATTGTTGCTACTGAATATTAAACAGAGGCTTAAGAAACAATGTATTTTATCAAAAACAACGTGCAGGTACTTCATGCAGTACTTGTCTTTTAACATTACATGATTTGAGACAACTGCAATTTTTGTTACCAAGTACAAATTGAAACCATATACAGTTTTACGGACACACACCAGTGTTTGTATATAGAAGTAAACAATAAGTAAACATTACAGAATCAGTGAAGGAAACAATAATAATTTGGTTTCTAAAGCAGGTGTCAAGGTTTCCACTGGAAAAATGGTACTTTTTTCCTGTCTTACGACACCTGTGCAAACAACATTTAAATATCTGTTCTCGTGGTATCTCATGAGGTCTTTGCAAAGATTATTCTCAGAAAAAATTCTCTGCTTCACTCTATGTTTCTGTATCCAGATTACATTCCTATATCTCCTTAAGTACCAGAGAGGCTGATAACTTGATTTTAGAAATAAACCTCCATGTATTGTATGGTCCCACTCACACAAAAGTTCACTTTTCAGCTTAACAAGACCATTTGGGCACCAAGTACTGGCAGACTTCACTCACCTCTACCAGTACAGGTGCTCTCCCTCGGTTTCAGGACAATCTCACTGCCTTTGCTAGCATCCTCTACATCAACATCTCAAAAGCCAATCAAGAATCCAGGTTCAGGAAAGACAAGGAAGGAGAAAAGCTGCCCACTGCAGCAGGGCTCCACCTTTGGTAACAACAGGAGAACCCTGTCTGTCACCATCACCTGTGCTCCTCAACAGGTCACAGGGCTTAGGCTCTCTCTAAATTCTGTGGGGTTACCTAAACATTTATTTCACTTGTCTTTCACTGTAGACTTTGATACTGTGCTGATTTAGGCAAAGATGAAGACGTACAATAAAAACACTTTCCTAAGAGATCTCTTTCCATGCTGGACTGGTGATTTTATTTTACTATCATTTATAAAGAAAAGATGCTTCATTTTCTAAGGAGAAGAAAAAAATTTTTGTTGCATTTGTTCAACTTAGCTGAATTGTCTCTTGATTTTTTTTTTCTGACAGGGATGTAATGTTTCTGATATTTCTATCTCAAGCTATTAAACAAACATGCAGCTCACCAAAGACTTCTTTGAACTGGTGTGAGCCTGAGCCAACTGCAGAGGAAGACAGGAACATAAGCCCTTATCATATGATTCTTTCATAATTTTGTTGAAGCATCTCAAAAAAGTTAAAATCAAATATTATTAGTTTTCATGATTTATAATCCTGTCACCGATTTTACACCTCTGAATGCCTAGCAGTATCTAATGAATAACATGGAGACAGGAGATAGTCAAGAGTCCTTTCCCATTTAAGTAATGAAGAATTAGCCATACTTTAGCTTGTTGACATGTTCTCCAGCTCCAGTGGAGCTCTGCAAGCTAGGGAGAGTTGAACTTCCAAGACCAAAATCAGAAAGAATACAGAAGTTGTGGGGGGGAAAAAAAAAAAAAAAAAGCACAACCAACCACATATATTAAACTCTGTTCCACAGGCTTAAAAAGACAGGGGACAGTCAAAACTAGTTTCTATGTCCTCCCTCCTATTGTCCTTCTTTAGAGAACTTCACATGAGGTAACTCCTACTACTTCTGGTAACACTCCTCCCCTGATAAACTCAATTAATGTGACTGGGAACAACAATGGTGTCATCAGAAAGAAGAGAGTTTTCCTTGGTCACTGCAAGTGAAATGGCTATGAGGTTGAAGAAATTATTCCAACTGGGTCACAGAATGACCGATACCTACTACTTAAAACCCCCCCACAGGCTACGGCAATCCCACTGTGGTGAGAAGGAAGAGAAAACAGCTCCCTCACTGCCTTCAGAGACTCATTTGAGTCAGAGAAAAGCGCTGCGTACACACAAGCTCATCTGCATGTTTGATTCCCCTTCTTCTACTTTTTTTTTTTTATCATGGTGCTCTCAAACCAGGACATACATGTGAGCCTTCCTGTAGATGCACTATCACCCAGCAGGCCTGATGAAGAGGTTATCAAGAGCGTAAGGCAAAAACCCTCTGGGACAAGACCACGTCTGTCAGGTCTCCATGCGCTACCTTACGTCAGAAGCAGAGAATGCCCAGTAAAATTCACAAAGCGTCAAGCCTGACCTACCTGAGCCACACCACACTTCAGCCAGGTGGCACTCGCTCTCACCCGGCTCCTTGCACAGCTCCACCACGTCTCTGCAGGTTGTTTCGGGGGTGACCGGCACCTCGGTGAAGTGCTGCTCATTGTTACTGAGGTACACCGTCAGAAACATCTGGAAAAAGACAAAGGCAACAGCACATGGTTACTTCATAACACAAAGACAGACTGCACATTGGAGTGTCAATCCTCTCACTAAATCCATTATTTTCAAACACAACTGTATCATTTGTTATCAAATACTGTGCACGTAGAATTTTGAAACATACTCAGATTTCTTTTTAAGGTACAAGCAAGTGAGAGACTACAGAAGTAATTCTCTGCTCAATTAAATTACATTGCTGGACGATTGTTTGGTTTTAAATCTGGACCTACTGCTCCTTGCTTCTTTCTTATAGTGACATGTCAGAACTCCTCCCACCTTACTATATATATATATATATACACACACACACACACACACACTGCACCTGTTTGACACAGTAGAAGAAACAGTCATTCAGAGTTCAAAAACATTCTCTGTAGTGAAAAATCAACAGCAGTTGCAACCAGGGATTAAAAAAAACCCAAAACCTCAAACAAAAACCAGCCAAATAAAAAAAGAGCTTACTACATGGGCAGTGAAGTGGAAACATAACATGCATTCCCATAACACATTTCATCAGAAGGTTTCTTCGAAACTCAAGTTGACCTGCTATGCCCTTAGTCTCAGCCTGAATAAAAAATCTCCCCCAAACCCCATTCATAGGAAAGTAAGGATATTTTACTGGGCTTTATGTTCACAGCTGTACAAGAATTCTTCATCTCTGGTACTATTCTGTATAAACACACCACACCACTAGGTGTTACACTCTTGCTCACAACCCCTTCTGCATTTTTAAAAATTAGTTACCTTACTTGATATTTGATACAAAACATCTGCAATTACTTCCTCAGAACACCACCTCACTGTATGCTATTAATATTAAATTGTTATTGAAGTTTAGCTGCTAGCTAAAAATTTACGTCAATTCTCTTCCAAGATCTACTCTCAACTTCAGTATCAAATGGTTGCTAGTTGCATGACTTCCAGCAACACACACAAAAAAAATATTAAAAAAAAAAAATCAGTCAAATGTCTCCAGAAAGCAATTACTCCACTAAGCATTTCAAGCAGTAGAAGTCTTATAAATAGGCTACACAATTTAGTATTTTTCATACAGACTGAAAAGCTGTTTTGGCAGGAAAAGACGCAAATCCTTGCCTGGCCTCATTTTTAGAGGGTGAAAGGGAAATACATCTTTACAAACAACAGTTCAAAGGTTAAGAAAAGTCCAAATCAATCAAGAGAAAAGTATAAATATTCTTCTAAATTAAAAGAAAACACACTACTATAAACCTTATTTCTGTGATTTTCCATGAATACTTCAAAACAAGTATTTTTTATGCCACTACAAAGTGAGATTTAGCCTCATCTTCTCCACAGTTTTAGAACACCTCACCTCTTAGGGATTCTATTAGAATAAAACCATGCACATGCACATCCCCGACACCTCCAAACCCTTTCACGGAATCACAGAACGTTAGAGGTTGGAAGGGACCTCTAAAGATCATCTAGTCCAACTCCCCTGCCAGAGCAGGATCACCCAGAGCAGATCACTTTTCAGGGCTCTTTAAAGTGCCGAGATCCGCCTGCCCCCACCTCTACAAGAGAAGCTGTCTTCATTCTTTTAAAAACTTCCGTGAAAACATTCCACACTCAGCATGTCTTGTTAGTGCAAGTATTTGTCCCACTCGTGGCAGTATAAACACTTGTGAATAATACTTCAGGCCGTGGCACTGCACCAGACTTAGACCGGCAGGATACTGAGTAGCTGTTGCCCGGCTCCCCAGGACAACACTTTCTGATGAATTCCTAAAGATGTCCAACGAATATTCATAGAGCAGAGAAAGCCTGCTGAAGAGAGCTCAAGACAGCTTGTAATCCTTAGTATTCAGATCCTTTAACCATTTTCTTGTCACATTATGGGGGGGGGGGGAAACAAAAAAAAAAAAAAAAAAAACCAACCCAAAAAACCACAACCATCCACTTGGAGCTTATAAGGAAAGGGAATGTGGAAAATGCAAAGGCAGCCACAAAATTCCGACGATTGACCGACGGATGCTGGTGAGTCCCGGGGAGGGCAGGCAGACAGATGGAGCGGGACACCCAGCGCTTGAGGATTTTAGCTCGAGTCGAGGCTGCTGCTGCTGTTGCTCACTCGGCAGTCCTGCTCTTGGAGGGGAGCATACCGCCTGCCAGCCGGGATTCACAGCTGCTCACCCCACGGGCAGCAGGGAATTTCTTTTAACACTACTCCCTGTCCGGTCTGCTTTGGGTGGGCAGAGGCAGGTAGGATGAGCTTACCACATACACTTATTATAGAGCGAAGATGGGCACAACTGTCTTGCTGTAACAGCGCCTTGAAGCACCGACCTAAATCAAAAGACAAAGCCTTCCACGCCAGGAACTCTCAATACTTGTCTTCAATCTTTTCGTCCCTATCTTTTAGCTGTAGCATTTCTAGAGGAGGCTGACAGTGAGGGATGCCACACACAACCAGATAAGGATATCACTTAATTGCAAAAAGTGGAAAGTAGAAAATAAGAGGCTCCCAATAGCTTTAGAGCAAGGTTATATAGGTACATAAAACACATCAACACTTCACATTTAATGCCATGGAATCTTGTATTCAGAACACTACTAAATTGCACAGGCTCTGTATCTACAGTAACATTTGTTAAGTTTTCAAATATGAGCTCACAGATGGGAATTAAGAGAAAATTATAACAAAGATGGCATTACACACAAACCAGACCTAATTTTACCCTAGCAAGGCTGTTCACCCTTCAGTGTGCCGCCTGTTTCTATCCAGTTGTTAATCCGCAGGATTTAACAATACAGACAACTACACAGGAAGGATCACGAGTTGCCATTTCCATCCACAACGCTCAGGGTAATTACCAACACATTAAGCCAAGAGCACTCAGACCTGGTGTGTGGGGCCACTTCTGAGACTTGGTAGATCACGCATTACCTCTACCCCACATATTCTAGGAACAGCGAGGGGAAAAACAGCAACCAAAACTCTGCAAATTCCCTAAAAACATACCTCAACGTCTTAAAAATCTAAAGCAACAAAAAGGCTACAAAATTGACATGATCTTCACAGTTACTTCACGCCACTTCCCTTTAGCTGCAAGGACAATGCTGAGAAGATTCTAAGTGGTTGTGCCCCTCCTCTCCCACCCAAAGAGCAGGAACTGGCAAGGAACTGGCCCTGCCTGCTCCACCACCAGCACACCTGAGAGGTCTCTTGGGGTAGCCTGTTCCCCGCCCAGCCTCACTGGAGCCCAGGGCATGCACTGAGCAGAGCAGATCCATCACAGAGATGTCCTCTCTCCCCCCAGAGAGGGATGGAAAAGTAAAGAAGCTGGTGTGAACCAAAAGCCCGCTACGGCTTCTCAGAGCTACTCGTAACCCTTGGCAGCTGCTGCAGCTTGCACCACCTCGCGCTGCGATCTCAGAAGTCGTCCTTCCCCAGGAAGGGTTCAAATGCAACATGTAGCAACCACTCTATCAGCTAGTTTATATTGCTGATCACTGTGCACCAGCAAAAAACAAAGGAAACAAGAATACTCTCACAACACTTTGTTCAGAAGTTTAAATCCCATAGATTGCACCAACCTAGAGCACAGAACTGTCTTTTGTTCCTCCCTGAAACCAAAGACATTAAAAAAGTTATATATAGGCATGCAGGCATTCAGATGGAATGAAAACATAAAAATCAACATGCAAAATAATTCAGTTTCAAACTAGGCATAAATGAAATAAAGAGGAAGACAAATCTCAAGTCAGATCTTGTGCTTCTTTTAAATCCAGGCAAATATTGAAACATCTGACAACTCCATATAGCCTTGGATCAGGGTTTTTTCTTCTCTTAGACGTTTAAAGATTGAGTTTGAAGAATGCCCAGTATACAGGCTGAGCAAGAGTCAGGTCCCCAAGTAAGCTCTAAACTAAAGATTTCCCGCTTATTCCCACCCCAGCCCCAAGAGATACTTACTGTTTATAGGTACTGAAAAGCTTTAAAATCTAAAAGCATTCCAGTACTGTGGCATACTTGCAAGAAATCAGGGATATGTGTGTATCTACTGAAGCAGTTCCTTTTAAAATCTCATCACACATTTCAGCTGACTCTGCTACAGCTTAGAAAATAAAAGTTTGCAGTTATGGAGCCACCAAGTGAGGCAGTTCGATCGGATGCACCAAGGGCATTAAAGGGATGACCAAGGACACACAAGCTGAAGGAAAAGAGTTTTTGCAAGGAATGACTGTACCATACAGCCTACAAACAGCTGAATGGCAAAGAAAAGTACCAAGTAATGAAGGCCTTTATATCTCAAAAAAGCTCACCACCTAAGACACGAATCTAAGAAAATCCAAATGAGTACGAATTACTAACTTTGAGTCCTCTCAGCATGAAATGTATCATTTTGTTCCAACCTATATTACTTACGCATCACCTTCAACCACAGCCACTAAGCTGGGACTGTAACACGCCCAGGAAAAGGAAGAGAACGCAGCCAGAACAGCCGCCAAGCAGGAGGACAGAAAAGGGCATCAATTAAAGCAAGTCACACCCCGCTTCACAATCCTCCATTTCTCTTCTGCACGTCAGTCCCGAACAGCTTTACGTTTGCCCACAGATCTGACCTACTTGTTGCTAAGCTCATCAGCAAGATCATTTTATACGACTGCAGCGATATTAAATACAACATAACAGGTCTTGACATCTGCAAGTAAGTTTTCAATATTTAAGAACTGCTAGCTCTACAAAAGTGCTAGGCTATGACCACACTACATTTTGGCTCCAGCTTGTTCATACTGAGAAGAAAAAAAAAAAACAACACAAAGAAAAAACAGAAAAAAAGAAAAAATAAACAAACCCAGCTTCCAAACCTGTTTGTAATACAAACCTGAGCAAACACACACCTTACAATTCACACCCATCCAATAAGATATTGTTTCATATCAAAGACCTCATATCAATATTCTCAGAAGGCCTCAATTATTGATTAAAAGGGGAGAAAACA